AGAAGGCAAAACAAAGTGATTCAGTGCCACACGGGAGAGGAGCTCCCGAGAGGCCGTGTCTCTGCCCCCGCCCCTGTTTGTCTCACACGGGGCGGGGATCCCCGCCCTCCCGCATCCACGTGACCAACTTGCAAAATGCCAGGACAGCCCAATCCACAGGCACTGCCACCATGCGTCCATGAGCACGTGCTTGGATCTTCTTGGTTTCCTAGGTGGTAAAGAACATACCTCTAAGACGACTCCCCATCTTCCCCCCAAACTGGAAACACACTGCTAGGTGTTCTAGGTTCAGGAAGAAAACACTGTTTCAGTCCAGTTACCACGAGCCCTGGTTGTAATCTGAGTAAACACTGCTTTCTCTTGGCTAACACAGCACAATAAAGGGGAAAAAACATTGTGTCAGAGACTGATCCACTGCAAAGCAGGCACATTCTTTTTGGAAGGCAGTAAGTACATGATAAAGAAACGTGGACTCCCAACACAAGGCACAAGGCATGTACCACCCCAAGACATTTATTGCAAAGTTCCTTCTAATAAAGAAAAAAATTTTAAAAAGTACATAAAATACACACCTCAGGGAAAGGCTGCAGTAATTAAAAATGAAAACTGTGAAGACCTCCGAGCTACTAAGAAATAGCACTGACAGTGCTAAAGACAGAATTCAAACTGCAATCATACTGCAGAAATGGTGACTAAACACAGGCAAACACTGGATGGGAAAGATCTAGAAAATGACACCCAGGGAGCAGGGGAGGTAGAGCAGTAGTTCCAACTTTGTTTTTATTTCAGCTGCTATGAACAGGATTATCACTTGTACAATACAAAACTCATCTAAATACCATTACTGTGTAAAAGCCTTCTGGATCTGATTCATACTCCCATGCTGACTTTTACAGTCAGTATCCAAGGAATCCTGTCCAAAGCCTCATCTGGCCAGTTTCTAAAAAAGAACCAGACCAGCTGCTGTTAATGCCCCAGCCCTTCTAGTTAAAGGGAGGAGCAAAGGTATTAGGAGAAAACCCCAAAGCGCTGACAACCCCTTGTATTTAAATACTACATTATACTAAGCATGTCCTTGATCAACTCAATGGCACTGTAAGTTGGACAAAGATGTCTATCCTCCCAATGTTATTTCCATGAAAGTTGTGTGACTTGCCGAGATCCCGTGAGTCTACTGGCCAGTCAGGCACTGGCTCTGAGGACAGAATCCTGGCTCAGCCCCTTCCTAGCTGGGCTGCCCAGAGCAAATGGCTCTACTTCCCCTTATCTTTAAAATATAGATAATACAAGTCATTTCGGAACTACAGTGAGGATTAAATCTGATAAAAGGAAATGACATTTTCGGGGAGTGGGGGGCGGGATGGCTCTTCAGGTCTTCTCCCATTCCCAAAACCCAAGGCCTTGTAGATCCCCCCCAAAGCACGGCAGGAGCCAGCTGAGTTCAGGCAAAGGCAGAAGAGGCAAGGAGTTCCAAAGTGAACTTAGTACCCAGCACGTCAGTGCTCAAAGAATATCTGACAAATGGACTAACCCAGTCAGGGAGCCCTCTGTCATCAGTTGATGATTAAGAACAGGCAGGAAGCCATCCGCTATCTGAACTCAAACTCTGGCCCCTTTAACTTTGAGACTACAGCGTATTTTTGCACTGCATACAGATGGTAGCATTTACCACTGTGGAAAACAAAGTCTCCTGCATGTTATCTTCAGCTGTATTTACCAAATATGCCTCTGCCTGGTCCTATTTAAAGAGATTCAGAGAGAGAACAAACTGATGGTTACCAGAGGGGAGCTGGAAGAGGAATGGGTGAAAGAGGTAACGGGGATTCAGAGTGCACTTCTCATGATGAGCCCTGAGTAACGTACACAATTGTTGATTCCCTCTATTGTACACCTGAAACTAATACAACACTGTTTAATAACTATACTGGAATTAAAATTAAAAACTTAGAAATAAAAATAAAACATTCAGAAACCACTGCTTTCCAAAAAGAAAATAAAATAGTCCTACTAATATTGTCTTATCTCTATCAGGTAAGGCTTCTCCATGAGCCTCTATCAATCCCACTTTGGTGAATGAAGCTATGTCTTTTATGAAACAAAATCATATGTTGGAGGTAAAAACTGTAAACTGTAGCTCAGAGAAAGTGCTGATGGGTAAAGCAGAACTCTCAAGAACAGTTTAAAATGAACATGCCTATTCTATTTGAATGGCTTTATGGATCTTTTTAATTTATTGTAATATTCATAAACGGTTTTAAGTCATATAATTATCTCATGGATTACTGTCCCGTGTGCCTGACCAGATCAGAATTGCTGTGATCTCTGAAATTCCTCCTCATTACTGAGAATTTAGTTCTTCAGGGCAAATCACTGTGCTTGTCCTTCCGAGAAGTCACAAACCATCCCCCTCTGTGAGCAGCTTCTGAGGCTCTGGGCATACACATTAAGTCAGAGAATGAGAAGACAACACTTTGTAGCTATGAAGTCAGCACCAGAGAAATTCCTCTTTACCACTCCAACAGCATGCTCCATACTATTCCTGAGACCAGTTAGCTGCATTTCTTTCTGTGCGAGTCCAACCTGCACCCTAGAGCAAGAAGAGAGTAACAGGGCAACAGTGACATCCAGGACCTGCTGGGTCCTCTGCTAGGAGGCGGAGGTAGTCTCATCCTCCAGAAATTCTGAGCTGCACTGCTGAGAGCTCTCAGAAAGGGACCAGACCCTTGCCTTCCTTGAGTATTACTCCTGTCGTTCGACATAAAGACACAAAGACACGGTGGTCAGCCCAATAAGGACTACACCCTTGGGAGCTGTGGTCCCAGCCAGTGGACATCAAATCCGACACACGGGTGAGGTTGCAAAAAAGCAGAAGCTAGAAAGGACGTTGGTTCAAATCACAGTCTTCTCATAACACTGGGCCTAAGCTGCTTTGCTGGAAGCCCTTCCCGCTCTGCCCCCTCCAAGGGATGGAAATTCTATTTACTGTATGTGTGAGAGTAAAAACCACTGGGCACTAATGCCGCCTCAGGCGGTTCATCACACTGCTTTATTCATAAGGCTGGGGGTACAGGGTAGAACCGCATGGATTTAAGATCTTGCTGTGCCTGAAATGTTCATTAAGGGCTCTTATCTGCAGTCACCTGCCCACCCCACTGAACCTCTCCACTAATTTAAAGAGTCTATAATCTGCTCACATTTAAATTATGATGAACAGGAACATTTCCACTGGAAAAAATCGTCATGCATCTTAATTTATGCTGCCAATTAAGTCTTTGGAAAGGGGGGAAAAAAAACTGGTTATCTTACATACAGTAATTTGCCCTAATTGGTGCATAATGGGTCAGATATAATTTGTGGATTACCCCCACATGGTAAATTGTTTATTTAACGTTTTAGAGGTACCAAAAATTAGCCTTGTTATTTGATGGTAAAAGGTTCACTCCCGACCACACATTCTGGGGACATTTTAAATCTAAACGTGAACTGTGTATTTAAGTGGTGGAAGTACAGTTTGAGCAAACAACAGGTTTCTAGAGTCCTGTGTTATCAAGATACACTGATGAAATTCACACGTGGCTCGAGGCTCCTTGAAGAAAGGGTTAAGTCCTAGAGAAATCCAAGCCTCCTAGAAGCAGAGGATATTGACTCTATGGTAAAGGTCAGTGGAAAATAAAAACAAAAAACTAACCCTGTCTCAGTCCTTACTCTTGTTTCTTTTCCTCACTTTTAATACCTCCCCCTCATTGGGGAAATTTAAAAACAGTACTTTCTCATCAACATCCACAACAATTCTCTCTCAAATGTCTAGTTTCAGGAAGCCCTTCGGGCATCACTAAATGGCCGAAGCGACCAATCATTAGTGGCTCTGCCTTTAATTGGCACCAGAACCCAGGCAGGTGACAGCGGCCTGGGCTCAGGCACCACTGAACTCGCTGGGTCGCTTCGGTCTTCTAAGGATACGCCCGGAGCCGCTCCTCCCTCTCCAAGGCCCAGCACCCAGATGGAGAAGTAGTAAAACATTACCAGTCCAAGGTAAAGTGGAAGCGGTGAGTCAAAGGCACTCAAAAAAGCAAGAAAAAAATCCAACCGTCACAAAGCCTCTCTCGGGGCTCCCACATGCTGCTTCCTTCCCTTTCTAAAAGTTTTATTTTTAGTTCATTTGAAAAAAGTGGGTACTGCTTACCTCTGAAAATACTAGGTATATTCGTTACTAGAAAGTAAGGAAAAGCTCTTTTAATAAAATAGAAAACTGAGGTCACGTTCACATTCCCACCACCCACTGAAACATTGCGGGGGGGCTACTCTCAAATGTTTGTAAATGAGATTTTTAAAACCCAGTTTGGGGTCCTGCTGTGTTTACGGTTTGTGATCTCGGGGCTTTTTGTTTTTTAACTTGGCCTCATGACGTTGCCATTTCCCCCTCCAAGTGGTTTGAAATTCCTTAAAAACACTTACAAAAGTTCTAGAACAAATACAAGAGCAATTCCTTGCAAATTACACTCCCTCATCCAAGCTGAACCGGACTCCCGGCAATTTTTTTAGAAAAATTACACTTCTCTGAAACTTCCTCATCTCTGCGCCAATTCCCGGAGAAAGTGGGGGGCGCGCACCAGAAAAGCTCCCCGCACACGGCCCCCCGCCCCGGGCCGGATCCACCAGCGCTGCAAACGGAGGCGCTACGCCCCTGCTGCCTCCCGCCCGCACTTCCCTCGAAACGCGTCCACTCCTGGGGCTCGCGGCCCCAGCGGCCCGGCCTGCGACCCCCGGGCTACCCCCCGGGACCGAGGCGACCGCCGCGCGGGGGGACGCCCAACCTCTCCAGTCCGGGCCGGCGCAGCGGTGACCCACCGCGCACACCTGCAGGGCGCGCCGCTCCAGCGTTCCCGGGGCGAGGCTGGCCAGGTCCACAACGCGGTGGCCAAGGGCCACGTTTCCAGCCCAAGGCGGGGAGGAGGGCCGGGCGCAAAGGCATGCCGGCCGGGCTGCGGCGGGACCCTCACCTGGGAGCGAGACGCCAACTCCATTCTTCCCACCCGGGCTCCGGCCTCCTCCTAGCACGCGGCCACGAGAACCTGGCTCGCCACGGGCCGGCGCACGCAGAACACCCGCGGTCGCGCCGCCCGCGCGCTGCGCCCGGAGCTCCGGCGGGCCGGGGGAGGGGCGCACTCGGCGCCCGGGACAGGGGGAGCGCGCCGCGCCGCCCACTCGGCGCCGCCGCGCCCGGCTGCGAGCCTCGGGTCTCGGACCAAACTTCGCGACCGGGGAACTTCGCTTCGCCCGCGGCGCGAGAGGGGGCTGCAGATGGGGCGCGGCCCGCGGCGGCTGCCGGTGCGGGGGCGCCGGGCTCCCCCCTGCAGCGGAGGGAGGGAGTGGAGCCGTCCGGCCGGGTTTCGCGCGGGAGAAATGAGGGGGCAGTCCCGGCGCAGCCTCCAGCTGGCACGCCCGGCTACGCGCGCCGGATATTTGCAGGGCTTATTCCAGGTCCTGCCCTGAAGCACATGCCTCCGCGGCAATCCGTCTCTGCTCCAGGAGATTTTTAGAGCTTGAAACTTCAGGGCTCGTTTTGTTTAGTTGTTGTAAAGGGGCGGGGTTCTGCTGCCTCCCAGAACGTTTGCTACAGGGTTCATTTTGCAAAACTAGCAACCCGGGTTTCTTTACCGAGGCCTTGAGGTTGGGGAGCTGAAAAATCCCCTCGAACTTGCGGCAGCCTTTGCTCTACCATTATACACGTAGGCCTACAGCCCCACTAGACAGAGAGTTCTAGAGGTTAGAAACGCTAATTAACAGATACTGGCTGAGTAGCTTCTATGCGTCAGACACTCACTGTGTGTTAGACCTGGGAACACGAGATTGAACAACAAAAAAACAGGTCCCTGCTCTGTTGGAGCTTATGGTCAGGGAGCCAGCCACCAGCAAGATGATATAAATGTAATAATGATGCAAGTAAGTGTAATAATAATGTAACAATTTGATTCATAATTTAACGATTCAAATACCATTAATGTGATGATAAGTTCAATTATAATGATGCAAATAAATGTAAATTTGGAGCCATGATAGATGGCACGAGGGAAAAGGTAAATGGTACTATGGTGGTTTAAAATAGACTTTTGGCACAGGTCAGGGACAACTTTTTAAAAGTTCAGGTAGGAAGAGTGAAGAATCCAGTGGGTGGAGACTGTGGAAGGCTTGAAGTGGGTATTGGGGGAAGGGTGGTAGATGAAGTTGTCCTGAAATCAGAGCAAGTTTGCAGGGCAGTATGGAAAGCCTTTTAGCATTGTGGTCATGCGTTCAGAGTGGATCACTGAGTGCATGAGACCTTCTGCAGCCCTTCTTGGCTGCTTGGGATCTGACACTCATCTTTTTTTTGTTGAAGCAGTGAATGAAATTGGCCAAACATTTGCTCAAGCTTGAGGAGAGAACATCTGCAAACTGTCCTCCTTCCTACTTTCACTGGTTCAGCAGACATGTGTTATGTGCTCTCCATGTTCCAGACTGTGGGGGGAAGAAAGACCAATAAAACATAGTATGATTTTTTTAAAATGTTTTCTCTTTATTGGGTAACAAACTATTCATTAGAGCCACTTTCATTTTTATTATGCTTTAGAGTTTTCCTTCATATATAGTATCTTCTTGAATCTTCCCCACATTCTTCCAGATTCTTATTATCCACATTTTTTAAATGTGGAGACAGAATCTAAGAAGATGCGTTAAGAGAAAAAGATCCCTGTCCCCCTGCTAGTAAATGACAACTGCAGACTGCCAAAGTGGAAAACATTCCTTATGCCTCCAAATTCAACACTGTCTCCATTCTTCTTTACCTTTTCCTTTTGGCTGCTAGGAAACTCAAGAGTGAAATTTGTTCCATTGGAACTTTTTTCTTTTTTGGTGTATTTGCTTTCCCATGAACCAGTGGTCTTGTTTTCACTTATTTCCTTTCATTGTAGGATGCATCAAATCCCTTTTGCAAAAGGGAGTATAAATTTGAAATAGGTCAGATTTTGCAAAGCCCTTGCAGTAACCTAGTCCTTATTTGGAAACCTGAATGTAGCTGAGCCATCTTGCTTTAGAAATTTAGTACTAAGTCTTCAAACGCCAACGTGGAAACTTTCCTCCTTTGTCAGGCAAAGCCCATGCACTTGAATAGTACTTAGTAATTGATTCTATAGTGGTGTGTTTTGTTGTCAGATTTTGGTTCCATTCTGTCTACATTTGACCCTTGAACAACCTGGGGGTGAGGGTGGCCAAACCCCAGCACAGTCAAAAACCCATGCAGAACTTTTGACTCCCCCAACACTTATACACTAATAGCCTGTTAACACATATTTGCTATAGGTATTATATGCTGTATTCTTAGAATAAATTAAGCTAGAGAAAAGAAAATGTTAAGAAAATCATACGAAGAGAAAATACACTTACAGTGCTGTGCTGTATTTATCTAGAAAAATCCACGTGTAAGTATACCTGTAGTTCAAACCCATGCTGTTCGAGGGTCTGGGATTCATGCCTTGTGAGCGTTGGGTTTCAGCATGGCACTGTAAGAATGAGTGTCCCTTCCCAGAAGCAATAGCATACATACTGCAACGGAGGAAAATGAGATGTCATGTTTGCAAAATTTCTTTAAGAATCCATCTAGAAATCTATGCCTGTTTTTTGGGTTTTTTTTTTTTGATGTATCAATGAGATTAAAAACTTGGTCCATAGTACCTTCGACAAGATAAGAAACTTGGGATTAAATGCCACCACACATGCCTCAAATGACATGAAAGAATTGCGATTGTTTACCAGCCCTGGCCCACAACTTTTTCCTCCGTAAAAGGAGTCCAAACATTTCTCCTCTGCTCTGAAGTAGTAGCTCTGCTTTCCCCACAGAGCTCAGCCGTGGGCAAATCCTCAGTGCACCCTTTATAACAGAGAAGCATGCCAGTTTGGTATTCTGGACGCCCAGCAAAGAATCCACCTTTGGCAGAGGGCTGGAAGCAATGTGGGTAATATCTGAATACCGCTTAGCATTATATTTGATCGTGAATAAGCGAAGTGACAGTCACACAAGATAACATCCCTACTTGTTCTCTATCTCGGTATCTTGAAACTCCCATCTCGTTGAGTTTAGATAACACCCCACCTAGAAGGGGAGACATCACTACATTTGAGACCTCAGAGATAACATTTCCAAGTTGTTGCAGAATAAAAGATCTAAAATCAAGTCTCTTAGAGCAAAGTCATCATCTAACAGTGACTGGGTGCCTATTTGGGAAGTTTTCTTTAATTACAAGCTGGTATTCTACCTGACTTGGCTTGCCAAGATACTGCTGTCACAGCCAATTTAAATACGTTCTGATAATAACCACTTGAACGGCTATGGAGAACAAGACGTGAACGACCAATAACTGATGCCTTCATATATTGGGTGCAGAAGAGTACACATCATGATGAAACTGTAATGCCCATGCATGGTTCCACCAAAGAGCCAAGAGTGGTAGTGGTATCGGTAACAGCAGCTAGCTAAATGAGCACTGGCTGGGCACCAAACCCTGTGCTGAGTTCATCTTTGCAAGCATTCTCTCATCTCATCTCTCAACTCTGACAGTGACCCATCTGCTACTCAAAAATAGTGCTGGGAAAATAAATGAAAGAATATTTTCAAAGCATTTGAGATTTCTTAATAAACTCGAAACATGATTAATGCAATCCATATTTTGTAGGGTTTTTAGAAAATAATAGTCTTCATAATTTAGTCTGTGAACCTAAAATGTAATTATAACTAGGCACTGACAATAAAGGGATGAAAATGAAAACTATTCAAAGCTCTTACCTTTCTAAGAACCTAATGTATTATAAAAGGAAAGGGTAATAATGATCTATTTCGACAAAGGTACTGTGGTATGAGGTTTTTAAAGAACTAAGTTTTTTCACAATGAATTATATATGAAGCCTTTTTTTAATTAAAGATTTTATTTATTTATTTGAGACAGACAGAGAGCCAGGGAGAGAGGGAGACAGAATCTGAAGCAGATTCCATGCTGAGCACAGAGCCTGACGCAGGGCTCAATCTCACCACTGTGAGATCAGGACTTGAGCCAAAACCCGAGTTGGCTATTAAACCTACTAAACCACCCAGGTGCCCCTATGCAGCATTATTTTAAAGTAACCTATAGGGGCACCTGGGTGGCTCAGTTGTTAAGCATCTGCCTTCGGCTCAGGTCATGATCCCAGGGTCCTGGGATTGAGCCCCACATCAAGCTCCCTGCTCAGCGGGAAGTCTGCTTCTCCCTCTCTCGCTGTGTCTCTGTCAAATAAATAAATAAAATCTTTAAAGATAAAAAAATGTAAAATTTCTCTAAATAGTTGGCGCTACGAATATTTTGTATTAATTCTACACATATATAACAACTTTCCAGACTTTGTAGAATTTCTGAAGTTATTACAGATTTATTCTTTTTTTACTTGGAATAATCAAGTATTTATACTGGTAATAAGAGTAAATCATATTTGTGATAGAAAATCCACAGACTTGGGTGATTATGGGTTCATTTATTGTTCATTTATTCCCTTAAGCCTCCAGGTGATTTTATGAGCACGGGTGTTTGAAAACCATTGCCCTAGTCTAGCTCAGCGCTTTGCAAAGTAGGACCCTCAGCCCAGCAATATCAGCATCAGCTGATAAAAAAAAAAAAGTTCAGGGCGCCTGGGTGGCTCAGTCGTTAAGCGTCTGCCTTCGGCTCAGGTCATGATCCCAGGGTCCTGGGATCAAGTCCCACATCGGGCTCCCTGCTCAGTGGGGGAACTGCTTCTCCCTCTCTCACTCCCCCTGCTTGTGTGCCTGCTCTTGCTGTATCTCTCTCTGTCAAATAAATAAATAAAATCTTAAAAAAAAAAAAAAGTTCAAATTCTTGGGTCCCACCCCAAACCTACTGAATTAGAAACTGTGGAAGGGAGCTTAGCAATCTGGGCTTTTTAATCACCATCCAGGCGATTCTGATTTTTGCTTAAATTTAAGAACCACTGTCGTTGTCCTCCAAGGTCTACTGTTCACCAGCTGGGTGACCTTGGGACTAATCACTGAGCTTCATTTTTCTCATCTGAAAAATGGGAGACTGCATACCTGCGGAA